ATCCGAGTATTACTAGCCTTTGCTGCTATCCATAAGCTTATCATACATCAGATGGATGTCAAGACTGCTTTCCTGAATGGTGATTTAGATGAAGAAATCTATATGCACCAACCTGAAGGCCTCATTGCCAAGGGTCAGGAAAACAAAGTCTGTAAGCTTGTTAAATCTTTGTATGGTCTTAAACAAGCTCCTAAACAATGGCACCAGAAATTTGACAACGTCATTGCACAATATGGCTTCACTGTGAATGAATACGATAAATGTGTCTATTCTAAAGTGATAAACAATGACTATGTCATTCTCTGTCTCTATGTTGATGATATCCTTATCTTTGGAACAACACTTGAATTAATTTCAAAGGTAAAGGATTATCTTTCCAAAAAATTTTGATATGAAAGACTTAGGTCTTGCAGACATGATACTTGGAATGAAAATCTCTAGAGACACTAGAGGAATATCTTTGAGTCTTTCCCATAGCATTGATGTTTGGGGTTGCTTGGCTAAAGTAGCTATTCCCGAACCTAAGAAGAGGAAAATTGGTTCTAAGACTGTAGATGCTGCTTTTATTGGATATGCACTTGATAGCAATGTTAACAGATTTTTAGTCATCAAATCTGAAATCAGTGACATATCCAACAATACCATCATTGAAGCAAGAGATGCAGTCTACTTTGAAAACATCTTTCCTTTCAAATCTAAAATCTCAGAAAATCCCAGATCATCCATTCCTTCTGATCTTCCATCTTCCAGTTCTTTTCAACCTCTAAAGCTCGAAGAAGTAAAAGAGGTAGAATTCAAAAGAATTTTGGAGAAGACTTCTTTACATTTCTTGTTGAATGTGATCCAAGCTCATTCCAAGAAGCAATGGATTCACCTGAATCTCCTTTCTGGAAAGAAGCCATTGATAATGAAATTAAATCTATCATGGAAAATCATACTTGGATACTCACCGACTTACCTTCAGGTTGTAAACCTATTGGTTGTAAGTGGATATTCAAGAAGAAACTCAGAGCTGATGGTTCCATAGATAAATTTAAAGCTAGATTAGTAGCTAAAAGCTTTACTCAACAAAAGGGCATTGATTATTTTGATACCTATTCTCCTGTAGCCCGAATCTCTACTATCCGAGTATTATTAGCCTTTGCTGCTATCCATAAGCTTATCATACATCAGATGGATGTCAAGACTGCTTTCCTGAATGGTGATTTAGATGAAGAGATCTATATGCATCAACCTGAAGGCCTCATTGCCAAGGGTCAGGAAAACAAAGTCTGTAAGCTTGTTAAGACAAGTGACTCTCGTGTGGAGCATCGACCTAGATATATTTATATATCATTATGTAGCATTTGCTACTACCCCTTCTCTATGGTGACGATGCTCTTATGATACAGCTGGCTAGGCTGAGTTTTACTCTTAATAAGTCCAACGCGTGTATTGTGTGTGGGGGGGGTATTAAATAAACAGCTGTAGTACCCTTTGAGGACTTACCTACGTGAGAGGAACCGTGATGGCCGCGGTTGGGGGGGCAGGGCTGACCCCTAGAAACTCTCATGAGTCGGTTTTTTGTGAGCATGGCCTTTAACGCTCAACCCGCTTTGCTCAATAGATGAAGCGTAGTCTTTCCCATAGCATTGATAAAATGCTAATCAAATTCAACTTTCATAAATCTAAACCTGTTTCAACACCTTATGATTCTTCTATAACCTTGAAGAAGAATGAAGGTGAACCTGTCTCCCAGCTAAAATATTCTCAGATGATTGGATCTCTTCTTTACATATCCAACCGAACCAGACCTGATATAACTTATGCTGTAGGGAGACTGAGTCGGTATACTAGCAACCCTAGCAAAGATCATTGGTATGCCTTAGAAAGAGTATTCAAATATCTGAAGGGCACAATTGACTATTGCTTGACTTACACTGGTTACCCTGATGCTATAGAAGGGTATAGTGACGCCAATTGGGTCACGGATTCCAACAGTGTAAAGTCTACATCTGGATATGTATTTCTTTTTGGTGGTGCTGTTGTATCCTGAAAATCATGTAAGCAAACAATAATTGCCAGGAGCACCATGGAATCTGAGCTGATTGCTCTTGATACTACTTGCACAGAAGCCGAATGGTTAAAAGATCTTCTATCTGAACTTCCTTTGGTCCCTAAACCCTCTCCTCCTATTTCCATTCACTCTGATTCTAGATCTACCATAGAGCTTCTAAAGCAAGTACATGTAAATAAAAAACATAACAGACATATTCAAATAAGATATAAGTCTGTACAACGCCTATTAGGCAAAGTTGTGATCTTGGACTTTGTAAAGTCTGAGAAAAATCTTGCTGACCCTTTGACTAAGGGATTATCCAGGAGTGTGGTTCTGGATTCATCGAGGGAGATGGGGTTAAGCCCATAAATGAGGTCACTGACAGCGGCAACCCAACCCTTATTTGGAGACGTAGTCCCAATGTCGGTTCAATGTGGTAGAAACAAGCTGGACAAGTGACTCTCGTGTGGAGCATCGACCTAGATATATTTATATATCATTATGTAGCATTTGCTACTACCCCTTCTCTATGATGACGATGCTCTTATGATACAGCTGGCTAGGCTGAGTTTTACTCTTAATAAGTCCAACGCGTGTATTGTGGGGGGTATTAAATAAACAGCTGTAGTACCCTTTGAGGACTTACCTACGTGAGAGGAACCGTGATGGCCGCGGTTAGGGGGGGCTGGGCTAACCCCTAGAAACTCTCATGAGTCGGTTTATTGTGAGCATGGCCTTTAACGCTCAACCCGCTTTGCTCAATAGATGAAGCGTATTGTGTGTGTTTTCATCAATACCTGATTAAAGGGGCCTAATTCAAGGCCTAGTCCATTATGTCCCTCAGGTGGCGATGAACCCACTAAGGAAAGGTTCAAAGCCGAGAGCTACCTCTCCCGAATTCACGATACGAAAGGTTGCCCAACCTATATTTATTTTGTGATTTATTTATTGATTTATTATTTTCAGTCAATATTGCCTTTTGGGGGGGGACTGTTAGATATTTTGTTAAGAAAAGACAATTTTGCCTTCATGAATAATAATAAATTTTTGTAATTAAAACATGTTTTAATTAGCAATTAAAAATATGTGTAATGGCTATATAATTATGAGGAACCCGCACGCCGCAGCCGCACACGCACACCTTTTTGCTTCTCAAGCCTTTATTTTTGCACGTTTTATACATTTTGTAACGGCTGCATGCGGGTAACGGAAGCAATAACCGTGCGTAACGGTCCCTTAGATTCAGGGGGGGTTACACCTTTCATCACCTATAATAGGAGGCTTGGAGCTCATTCAGAATCACACCAACGAAGAGTAAATCTTCTAAACTCTCTTCTCTTCTCTACTCTCATACCTCCAAGAGATTTCGGCTACATATTTATATATCTATTTTCTGGGCAACTGTTTTCGTCTGAGCATAAGCTCTGTGACTCACGCCCGAGTGCAGAGGCCGGCCGATTCCGGAGGTTTTTACCGCTAGGGGAGAAAGGACAAATTGCGCCAGGGCGATAGGCGAGTCCTTAATCTTCTAGGGCAGTGATATCACGACTGCTCCCAATCAGGCCTGAATTTTCTAACTCCTTAATTTGTTTATATTATTATATTCATGTTTTGACAGCATAACGAGCATATAATATAGAGTTTTTTTTATGCTAGTTCCTTAAATCTTTCAAAATTCAAATGATTGCTGTTATCAGCTCACCAAAATTTAAGTTATTTTGAAATTAGATTCTCAAATCATTATAACTATTGTTTACGATCTCTCACTTATCATGCGTTATTTCAAATTTGTCCATCAAATTGCCACTAATGTTCTTGATAGGAGGGGCTAATTTCAAAAAGAAGATATTTTAAAATAAATTCTTAGGGGCTGTTTGATTGTATGTTTTTACCGTGTAAAAGGATAGAAAGTGTAAAAAAGGGTTCCAATGTCAGCTTTCATCACTTTACATTGTTTCTTTAAATTATTTTCTATATGAAAAGCTTACACCTTTTGATGAGGTGTCACCGAAAGCAAAATCACCAAAATTAAGATGATTTTGTTAAAAAGCTAACACAATGTCATAAATGTGTCCAAAAAATAATAAAAAAGTCAAAACCTTGTAGAAAGTGGTAAGGTTAATAACCACTTTCCATTTTGTATCATAAATACTCTAGTTTACATTATACTATCCAAACAATATAATACTATTATTTTAGGATTCGCAAAGATTCCTAACCAAACAATGTAAATACTCGAATAAAAAATGATGAGGTGGATAACCACTTTTTATTTTGTGTCACAAATATTCTAGTTTCATAAAGCAAAAATGCTATTTGACTCGCGGGTTGGGCAACTCGTGCCCAACTCGCAGTCACTGAGTAAGGGGTGGGCCCCACAGCTTTGTGGGGCCCACCCCCTACTCAGTGACTGCGAGTTGGGCACGAGTTGCCCAACCCGCGAGTCTTTAGCAGCTTAATTAAAAGCTGCTAAACTTCACGGGAGTTCAACTCCCGTGAAGTTTCGGAAACTTTTTTTCAAAATCCGACCTGGTTTCAGCGCTGAGGCTGAAACCAAGTCGGTTTTTGCAAATAAAACTGAAATATGTCGTTTTTTACAAATAAAAAAACAAAAGAGTTGGTTTTGAAAATTTGTCCTATTAATTTTTATTCATAAAAGTCAGACCCTCTTTTGGTCCTATGTGGGGGCCACAGAGTACCAAAAGGTAGCGGGTTTGGCAAACCTGGCTACTTTACTTTAGCACTGTATAATGATTAACGGGGTCGTTGCTTCGCTGTCTTCTTATCTCTGTCGACCCAAAATCTGACGGAGCGCATTTTTTGCAGAGAAGACATTACGGCAAATAATCATTTCAAAAGGCTAGGCACGGAAATAGAGTTTGGCGGGGGAAAGAAAGAATCCAAACGTTGAAGTAACTAGCATTGTGTAAATAAAACATAGGAGTTTCAGAATTCACGAGCATTTGAACTTGTAAGCCTCCTCTCTGAAGAAAATTTTATTTTATGTCAAGATTTAGGTCCGCATCCGATGCTTATGGCAAGCATTCTGCTAGTGTAGCGCGGGCACTTCATTTTACAAAGTTTAATTATCAAAGATATAAAATAAATTGGTCATATAAAACATTATTTACACATTTGAAGAAAATAAATAAGAAAGACGAAAAAAGGGGAAAAAAAAAGGAAATGTCCTCACTCGTACAACGGGGTGTGATCATTTAGTTTCGCTCTTGATGACCCTTGTATTGTAAGAACCACAGAAGCGGCATTTGTGATATACCCAGTGGAAGCGAGATTTTCCCTTCTTAGCGCAATCATTGCATAGTATATCCTGATCCATTTCGGTTAGTAAAGGCTTAGTAAACCTAGGGGACACCGTGGAAGGCAAGAAAAAGATTTTGCTGCAGACCTTGAAAACAACTTGTTACCTGTTGTTTGTCCTTGTATTCTTCTGGAAGTTCTTCGGCAGCCAATAACGCGTCAAGCATGCCAAAATAAACCTAGGAGAATATAGATAAATTATAAGATCAAAACTAATATATGGCTTGTTTTCGAGATTTTAAGATAGAAAGGATATGAGTGTCAGGAATTTTATGGAGATTAATCTGCGAAATTAAACACTAAATGAATAATGACAACAATGAAAATACCACAAGCAAGCAAATACCAAGATTTAACGTGATTCGGCAAATCGCGCCCACGTCAACGGGGCAATCCGGAGAGAAATATTTCACAATGAATCAAGAGTACAACCCCTCCAAGTTACACCTGAACTTAAGGATTAAATCACAAGATAAAGATACATCGTTACCTCTAGGGCACCAGAACCCTAAAACCCGTCTCACCAAAAATCTCCAACACCCGCGGAGAAATAAGCACCGTACCCTCGACGACGTTCGTTCTGAAGACAATGGCTTTTGAATCACTGCAATCGGACAACCGGGCTATCCAGAATCTCACTTTTTCTCACCCCTCTTTTCTTTTCTCGGGTTACTGTAGTGCCGAAATTAATTTCAGGGTTCTCATAAATAGAATTCTCCAAACCTATTCTTATTATAAATAAATCATCCAAATCCTCTTCTACATAGAATTTTAATTCATGTGAACCTCATGTGGGCCTTATCTAGGGCTGGACCCACAACAATGAGTACACTAGATTCGCCACAATTGCAGGCTATTAAGTAGGTGGTACAGGTTTTTTTGCTAATACTGATCTAGTATCATATAAGTCGAACTGAACTGTGATCAACTCATAGCAGAAATATAAGTGTATCCTTCAATTAGGGAGGAAAACAGTAAGAGGATTGATAGCTTACCGTCATGTCTCCCAAGGACTTGCTACATATTGGACAGGTATAGTGACTACAAGTGTATGCCTGAAAAACAAGAAATAAACAGCTAGATTATAACTACCGAAATCCTGTTTAGGTGAACAAAAGTTTGTTAAAAAAAAAATTAAAAGAACAAGCAGATCACTAGAAAATATTCATATATGAAAAAGCAAATAACAGGCTAGGAAATGATAGACCTGGAAGCACGCTGAATGCATGAAATGCCCACAACGTAAGGCTCTTAAAGGCTCCGTTGAAGTAAACAGAAAGTCACAACAAATTGGACAATTTGTCTCGAGACTTTTCTCACGACATTTGTGATCAATCAATTTCATTCCCAAGCAAAAGTTGCAACCCATGCAATGAAAGAAGTCGATGCCAAGTCCTTTCCCGACGCGACACAAATTGCAAAATGGACAGTGGTATATTGTCCTGAATTTACACCAAAAACAAAAGGATATTAATTGTTTAGTACTCATAAATGTTATTTCATTTATTTACATAGTTCTCAACCAAATTAAATCCCAGAAGCAATAGTGTTGAATTAACATTAAAACTGCCAAGTTATGCCTTCTTTTTCTTGCAACAATTGTAGAAACTCATAACAGAGATAGTCTGATGGATTATGAAACAACTCAAATCATATCCTGGAATCTCTGAAATCTGACTTAGTTACTATGTCAAGCAAAAGAGCCTATTGCATGAAAATAAGAATCTGCATTGTAGAATTTTTAGCTTTCAGGTTCACAATTTGCACTCATTCCCCAACTAAATATATGAATTCCAGCATCTTGACTCTTGCTTGGCTACTTTCTTACACGGTTAATTTCAATGCTATAAGCCAACCCTTACCCGAAATGCTAACCATAACCCTACAACATCAAACAAAACTCCAAGTTAAAGGGGAAATCAACAAAAGGCATTAACCTGCCATCAGAATCTAGGGTTACCATGTAATTACAACCTTGGTGTGCCGGAATGTAATTAAGTATCTTTGGGACAGTTTAGTTATATTTTAACAATTAAAAGCTTAACTGAATGTGGAGGAATATAACCAGTATATTCTCTAAAAGACAAATTAATGGATAAATTGCCAAACATTAAGATTTGGGGTGATGTACGATAGATTTGAGGGATATATAGGTAAAAAGAGTCAAAGACCCTTACCGATTATGTTGGGTATAAGTATGAGTCTCATTTCTCAAACATATCACCATTCAACCACATGATTCAAAAACACATAAAGATATGGTAATCCCATACTGATCCAAACCAAATGCCAACGTGCCTCTATATCTCACGCCGTTATCTTTTATAGTTCCATGCTTTTAATTTCTTTAACAAGTAAAATAGGTCAATATTGTGCTGGCTTATAAGAAAACAACAACTTACTCATGTAAGTACCTTTCATCGTCAAAAAGTTTACAGACACCGCAGAAGTATTTCGCCATAATTAGTCCATTACAAGCAGGTGTTTTGCATGTCTGGCCAATTGGCTGAACATGGAGACAGCTCATACATAACATTTGAGTTGAGGCTTTTCTGAGAAAAATGGCAGCATAAATTCTTATTAGGGAATGTATGACAGCATGAAATCTTTTATAAGGGAATGGACGAAAATGAAGCAAGTACTGCATAGCAGTTTCCATTTCATGTTAACATTAAAGAGAAAAGAAATATACTAGATCATAATGATCTTCTCATGAGAATATATCTGCTCAACTTTTAGTCATTTCAGATATCTGAATTATCAATAACAATTGAAAAAATGCATCACAAAGTTGATAAAAATTATGACTAGTTTTAATGAATCGCATTTGTGATCAATTAATAGCTAATATTTTAAAGAAATTGAAAAAAAATGTATAAGTCGACTGACTAAAGTAACTTAACATGCTACCTCTCCATTGAATGATCACTGACTTTATCATGGCAGAATCTGCATGTGAACAACTTGTTACAGCATGTGGCAAGAAGTTTACAATTTCTTTTGTAGTGTTCACAGCCAAATATCTGTTTATCTGAATCTCGAAAAGATGGGGAACAGCCAGGGATATCTTCATCATCTGTTAACTCCTTAGTTGATACTTGAGGTGATTTTTGTTGAGCTGCGATCCAGCGACTGCAATAGCCCATCTCCTCGTCAGTTATAGACATTTCAAACAAGTTATATTGCAATTTAGATTAGGTTTAATTGTGGATAGACCCCTTGTAGCTCTACTGTTGCAGATAGACACCCTGAGTGCATTTTTTTACTCTTTTACCCTCAGGAGGTCTATTTGTCAAAAAATAATTTTCTCTTTCTATGAAGATAAAAGAGTCAAAAATAATTTCACTCAAGGGTCTATCTGCAACAATAGAACTGCACGTGATCTATCTGCAATTGGGCAATAGTAACGATGACCATCTGTAGTTAACCATAAGGGGTTTAAATCATAATGATTACTCATAGAGGTCTATCTATAAGAAACCTTGTCATAAGATTCTGAATAAGATAGGCCTTTCTCCGTGGATCAAGTGTTGGATCTTGAGAAACCTTTCGTATCTCTGCCTCAAGCTCATTCTGGTTCATTCGGAAAATATCCTTCCATCCAGGCTTGAACATCTGATCATTATCACTGACACTCTCCTGGCATTCAGTTCCTAGAAAACATTACACAGATTACAACAAAAAAGAGAAAAACCTCTTCAATGTAAATATATGCTCCTTTTTGCCATACCCTACAACAGAAAAAATTTCCATCGTACACAACAATATTTATGGGGTAAAAAACCTTTCGGAACAGCATGACTTGCTTCTGCTACAGCCTGCAAAGAAGATGTAGGTGTACCCCTCCACCATCCATTTAACCATTCACTGAACATGGTATTCTTAGTTGCTTGCTTCCATGTATCCATCATACAGTTCTCCTCCTCCAAAGTAAGTGCAGAAGTCACCCAAGGTAACATAGACTGAAGAATTTCTGCTCCTGTTATCCCAATAATACGACCAACTATCCTGTTTTGTTCCTCTGCTGAAAAGTGTTTGTCGAATAAAGGCCACAGTTCCAGTTCTTCTCTAAACACGTGTTGTCCCAGAGAAATACGTAGAGATTTACACATTGCTTGAATTTTAGTAGCGAGCTCATTTTGTTTCTTCTTCCAATGAGAATCAAGACCACAAGATCCAGTGTCACTTTGACTTGCGTCAGATTTAGTATTGGTCCGGCCAAATTTTGCATGTAGTCGTGAAAGCTCCTCAAGGATTGTAGATATATCAGCAAATAGCTTCTCTTCTTGCTTGTGGTCGAGAGTGTAGGAGTGGCTAACATTGTGAAGTGCCTCTCTAGATTCTAATGCTGGAAAAACAATGTCATCCTCAGCATTGCTATGAGCTTCATATAGACTCCACAATAAACGAAACCTTCCACTGAACTTCCGAAGAGAAGCATCATCACAACCTAAAAGTTTTCCAGACTCAAAATCCAAATACTCCAAATCTTTGCAAATTGCTTTATGAAATTTGAATATAGTGTCTATAGGCCTAGCTTTATCATCCCCATTTGATGAAATAATTCTTGTACCCTCCAAAAGGAGGCTCGGATTAAGTGATGGAGAAGCAGAATTATCAGGTTGACATGGGAAGATTTATCAGCAGGAAGAGTTATCCAAAGATTATTCCTACGTAATCCTGATCTTGGTGCACATTGAGCTTGTTTATCATAGGACGGTTGTTGAATATTAATGTTATATGTGGATTCACTAGTATTTGCACATGCTTCTAAGAAGTTGCATCTTTTGAGCGGCCTCCTATAGTTCTCCATTTGCAGGTATGCTGATTCAGCCCTGCTGATAAGTGGAAAAGGACATACACTGAAGACTCGGCAATAGTCTTCTTGAATCTGACCTTTTTTCTCAAATGGACAGCAAGCAACAAGCTTCGAAGGCAAGCATACGAATGTGCGAGAACTTGCAATTTCTTGGGAGTGACAGACCGATGCCCAACCGGATAAAAGAGTAACTAGGGCAGAATCAGATGATGAAGCTGCAGCGTATAAGACATATGCATGAGTCCCTTATGGCTCCTATAGAAAAGACGTTAGCAGGATATTAGGAGTTTGACTATGCAAAGGATTAAAAGCTAACCTGCCATTTGAATATTTTGAAGAAAGGACTTAGTTTCTTGTTCTGTTAGGGTAGCAACGAACCATGGGATGGCACGTTCTAAGAATTTTAAAGGCATCACACATATACTTTTGTACAGAAGTTCCCTTTGCTTCTCGGGACATAAATGCAGTCTGACAAGAGGAAGAACCTAGCACAGAAAATACGCAGAATGTATCCTGAGATTATAGTCAAATGATGATAAAGGTTCATCAGTCTAAAGAGAACATACCTCAGCTTCCTCATTCTCAAGAAGTCTTTGTATTGAGTTCATTATTTCATCAGTGTGTGAAAGTAGCGATGAGTGGGATTCAGAAGAAGATGAATTGGCTATTGTACACAGCACTTTCTCAATTATGTGCCTGAAGTTGTTAAGTTGAGACTCTTCTTCAGAATGCTCCTGCGCAAAGGAGAACTCTTCACCTAGTGCTGGCAATATCACTTGATCCTTGGCAATTCTGCAAATAAGAAAAATAGGTAAAGAATGTAAACTTTCAGCAACTCAAACTACAACATTCTAAAAATATGATTCTACATTATTCCAGTGGATGCCCACATTGAATATTATTAACAGCATATCATATTTTGTGTGTGTTAGAAGTCTATTTAGTAGGAATGTTGGATGTTGGTCAACTAGAAGAAATTTTCAAATATTAAGGCGGAAGAAATTAGTTGAATTAAATCACTGTAGGAAATGAAGCAAAAGAAGATGTACTAGCTCAAATAGAACCAACATTTCAACAGGATATGCTATGTTTCCTTTCTTATTAAGCTTAAACATCTCACCATAATTTTGATGTCAGAGAGAGGAAGTGATTACATTGAAAAGGACCTAGAATGAAATGAGAGAAAGGTATCCATGTTAAGATGAAGAAGAGGATAATTTTTGGAAAATAAAAGTGGCATGTGACTTGCACATGCTGTTTTAAATTATTTTTCACAGAATTTTTAATGGCGGGGGATTTTGTAATAAAACATTAACTGTAGGGGGTTTCCTAATAAGTGATCAAACTTGAAGGGTTTTCATAATAATCACCCATACAAATATATATCTATGTGTGTATATGTATATATGTATACGTATGTATGTATTTATATGTGTATATATATGTATATATGTGTGTGTTGGTATGTAGATATGCAGGTACGTATGTATGTATGTATTTATGAATGTACGTCTCTCTGTATGTCTATGGAACATACAAAAGCAAAGGCACCTGTGAAAGCTGCAGATGTCAACAATAAATTGAAGTCTATCTTGGAAAGTAGAGAAATCCGAGGCCTCAGCAGAATATTTTATCTTCTTAGCCATTTCTAAAATCTCATTCAACTCTCCTTTAATTGCCCTGTGCCAATGCAATATTTCATTTATAGGATGATTTCCAGTCAATTCAAGAGCATGGCTGTCTGATTCTAGATATTTTCGCTTCCCAATACTAGAATGTGGACAAACCCAGACCTTCTCGGTTGACGCAATAACTTTTTCAGGCCCACCACCGCAACAATCTTGGAATTCAGAATCACCGTTACAGCTTCTGTCCAGGTTTTCTGTGGCGATCACTTCCATCCATGAAGATATGACCTTGAAATTTTAAAAAGACAATTAACTTTACCTGCACAAAAAAACGTCAAGAAAAAACTTTACCTGCACCAAAACTCTAAATTATGATGCTTTTTCACATTTTACACTCCTCTGTAACTTGCGGGTTCTTTTCGTGGGTTGAAAACCAAGCTTTTGTGTCTCTCTCTTTTTAACCGCTTTTAAAATGCACATCTGGATAAACTTGTCCTGGGAATACTGTCTTAAAGTCCATATTGTTGCACAAACACGCTAAAGTCATGGTGAATAGTTTACCTCATGGAGAAGACTTTGCTCCGGTGCTATCTTGCATAGACATTTTACCATAGCATGATGCTCATAAGGTGAAATACAAGATGAGAGCCACGGAAGGAACTCTGCCATCATGTTGACAGGAATGCTACAGAAAAAGTTCCAAATTAAATCAGCCTGCTCCTCAAATGTAAACTTCCTGGTAAGCAAGGGAAAGACCTAATGCAGCAGGAAAAAAAATCATTCAAGCATGACAACATATAAAAAATTATGGGGCAAAGGGAGGGAACACATCACAGTATAATAGATATGAAATGACAGAAATAGACCGACCAAAATATAAAATAGTCAGTTAACTAAGAGGTGCAACAGAAATGATAACAAACTCCAAGTAACATTTTGTATTAGGTAAGTGATGCGTCAGCAACAACTGGCTCTATTTCGGATTAGTGTTTTAAAGAAAATTGAGAATTAGATAGAAAGTTTTGATTTCCAGATAAATATAAAAGAAAACGATGTCTGAAGTTGAACAATATGCGTTAAGAACAACCCGTAGTTTCAGTGTATGATATTTATTAAAATAGTAGCAATCAGAAATAGGACCTCCGTATGTGACTTTGTGAAAGCGCATGAGTCACTCAAGCATGCGTGTAGTATGTGTGTGCAAGGGAAACATGCAAGCATGTGTGCACACACACACAGAGAGGCAAGTGTCAGTGTTGGGACTTGAGTTACGCCCACCGCCGCGGAAGCGTTATTACCTGAGAGAGAGCCCTGGCTATTGTTGTCACAAAAGCACAAGTCAACCTCTATATTCTTGTTTCTCAAAAAAAACTAGAATAGATAGTGAAATTATTATTTCTCAAAGGAAACAAGAATCGAAAGTGATATATTTCATCAAAGTAAAATATACACTCTTCCTCTCATCAGTTCTAGGACTGAAATATCGAGGGAATCTACAAGCTATGGCAACTCACAGATAATACAAATACAAACACGAGATTTACGTGGTTCGGCTAACTAGCCTACGTCCACGGGAGGGGGGGTTTTCACTATGAGGGAAAATACCAAACTTTACAAGTTCTCTCTTCCTCTCTTTCTTCTCTCAAAAACTCCTCTTGAGATTTTTACCCTACACTATAACTCCTCCACCACTTCTCTATTTATAGAAGAGCAAAGGGGCAAGGCTGAATATTTTGGCGGGCTGAATGAGCGCGCGGGAGAGGAAAACACGGGCACGAGAGAAATCGGCGGGAACAATTCCCGCGCTCGAACACGAGCTCAAGCGGCGACGAGACGTGGGCTGGGAAAATGCGCACGAAACCCAAGCGCGTACGGTGCTGAACTCGCCCACGAAATCATCTCCCGCGTGATCATCCCCACGCGCACGAAAACACCACAAGAAAACCCATGTGGGTGGGCCCCTTATGTCCCCTGCGTACATAATTCTCCACCTCGTACATCATTTGATAAACCTCAAATTTTGGACGAACACCAGAAGAACCCCACGAACTCCACCAGAGAGATATTCAGGTCAAACCAGCTGCGTCACTATACCGCGACTGCCTACGTACCCTCCACCGGGATCAAGCTAACCGTAGTTCTGCAATTATTCTCCAACACAGTCTCCACCTCACCTCCATCACCGCCCCGCAGGGCCATGCCTTCTCGGGCAAATCAACACAGGCTGATATGAAGCAAGTCCAAGCAATACTGGAACTTGCTGCCTGTGACCACCTTGGTTAACATGTCCGCGGGATTCTCATTCGTATGCACCTTCATCAGAGAAATATCACCATCCTCTATGACATCCCGCACAAAATGATATCTGACGTCGATATGCTTGGTACGAGCATGGTGAACTTGATTCTTCGCCAAGTGAATTGCACTGACTGTCGCACCACAAATTCACGCTCTCCTGCTCAATCCCCAAATCGTCTAGAAGACCCCACAGCCACAATGCTTCCTTCACTCCCTCCGTCATGGCCATGTATTCGGCCTCTGTTGTAGAAAGTACCACTGTAGCCTGCAACATCGATCGCCAACTAACTGGAGCCCCATGTATCCTAAATACATAACCAGTAGTAGATCGCCGTCTATCTAGATCGCCCGCATAATCAGAGTCCACATACCCGTCGACCTGACATGTATCTCCACCAAAACACAGATCCGTATCCGCGGTACCTTTCAAGTACCTCAGGACCCATTTCACCGCTTCTCAGTGTGCCTTTCCCGGATTCGCCATGAACCTGCTGACCACATTAACCGCCTGTGAAATATCTGGACGTGTACACACCATGACGTACATCAAACTGCCAACTGCACTAGCATAAAAAACACGATCCATGTGTGCATTATCTTCCGCTGTAGTGGGAGATTGTTTACCTGAAAGACTAAAGTGTGGAGCCAATGGGATCACCACCGACTTTGCACTTTGCATCTCGAACCTCGCGATCACACTCTCTATGTAGCTCTTCTGACTCAAGAACAATCGCCGATTCGCCCGCTCTCTTCTAATCTCCATACCCAGTATTTTTCTAGCAGCGCCCATATCTTTCATCTCGAACTCATTGCTAAGTTGAGATTTCAGCTTATCTATCTCCACCTTGTTTTTCGATGCAATAAGCATGTCATCCAAATATAAAAGGAGATAGATATAATCACCTCCACGAAGCTTCCAGATATAATCACCTCCACGAAGCTTCCAAATGTAAACACAACAATCATAGTCGCTTCGGGAAAACCCATACTTCAGCATGAAGGAGTCAAATCGCTTGTACCACTGCTGAGGAGATTGCTTCAATCCATAGAGTGACTTCCTCAAGCGACATACATGATGCTCCTTATCCTCAACCTTGTAGCCCTCAGGTTGATGCATATAGATCTCTTCATCCAAGTCTCTATGCAAGAAGGCCGTCTTGACATCGAGTTGTTCCAGCTCAAGATCACCATGAGCAACAATACTCGGTAGCATCCGAATAGAAGTGTGTTTCACCACCGGAGAAAATATCTTATTGTAATCCACACCCTCTTTTTGTGCAAACCCCTTAGCCACTAGCCTCGCCTTGTACCTTGTACCACCGAGCTCTGAAGGATCTTCCTTTCTCTTATACACCCACTTACAACCAATAGCTTTTCTTCCTACGTGTAATGGGACCACCTCTCATGTTTGGTTCTTCCGGAGAGATTCCATCTCCTCCTCCATCGCAGCCAACCAACTTTCACTATCCTTGTCTCGAATAGCTTTCTTGAAGGAGACCGGCTCATCTTCCTCCACCGAGAGTGCGTACTCAACCAAATTAGCATGCCCATAGTGTTTCAGGGGTTGATCAGCCCCCAGCTTCTGTACCTGCTTGTATACTCACCTTAGCCTAGTGGAAGCCAAGCTATCCTCGAGCTGCTGTTGTTGTGCTGAACCTCCTCCTGCTCAAGTTCATCATCTACCTGACTTTCCACTTGAACACGACTAGAACCTGGTTGGTCTTTAGATTCTATCTCAATAACCTGGGACCGGGAGTCCCAACAGTATCAACACCACCATCTTTGGGCACCCTAGCAATCATGGACTTCTCATCAAAAGTAATGTCCCTGCTGATCACGAACTTCGAATTTTCTGTACACCAAAGGCGGTAGCCTTTTACGCCCTTTGCATACCCCAAGAAAATTACCTTCTTGGCTCTCGCGTCAAGCTTTCCCTCGTTGACGTGATAGTAGGCGGTACAACCAAAAATTCAGAGCCTCTCATAATCTGCATGCTCCCCTGACCACACCCGATAGGGTGTATCACCGTCTAATGTCGAATGTGGAGATCGATTCACTATATAGCAAGCTGTAGCAATCGATTCTGCCCAGCATTCTTTGCCCAAACCAGCATATGATCGCATACTCACTGTTTTCTCCCGCAGTGTTCGGTTCTGTCTTTCCGCGACCCCATTCTGCTGTGGTGTAGATCTAACTGTCCAGTGTCTAGCAATGTCTTCCTGATCACAGAACTCCTTGAAGGTACCATCTATGTACTCTGTACCGTTGTCAGATCTCAGCGTCTTTAATTTCTTCCCTGTCATGTTCTTAACCATCGCCTTCCACTTCTTGAATGTCTCAAATACCTCATTCTTATGCTTCAGAAAATAAATCCAAGCATACCTAGAATGATCATCTATGAATGAGACAAAATATCTGGAACCACCTTTGGAAGTTGTCGAAGCCGGACCCCAAACATCCGTGTGCACATAATCCAGTATCCCTCTGCTCTTGTGATTGCTTCTCAGAAACTGGACCCTGTGCGCCTTTCCATACACACAGTCCTCGCAAAAATCCATGTAAGGCTTCTTCAGGTTCTTTAGCAAGCCTTCTTTACCAAGCAGATCTAGACCCTTCTCTGACATGTGCCCAAGCCGTCTATGCCATAACCGTGTGTGCTCATATGGGTCTCCACCAATTCCTTTAGCTCCAACTGCTGCATCTCCCGTCACCGTCGTACCCGAGAGAGTATATAGATTACCGTGACGAACACCCTTCATCACTGTTAAGGAACCCCGAACAACCCTCTTCACTCCGTTCTCTGTTACAATCTTGCAACCCCCGGAGTCCAAAGCTCCGACTGAGATGAGATTTTTCCGCAAGCCAGGAACGTGTCGTACGTCCGTCAGGATTCGAACCACTCCATCATGCATCTTGATTTTGATATCACCTAACCTCACCGTTTTACAAGCATGGTTGTTCCCCATCCATACGGTTCCACCATCAATGCTCCTGTAGGTAGTAAACTATTTTCTGTTTGGACACATGTGGTAAGAGCAACCAGAATCAAGAATCCACTTCCCGGAGGTATCCTCGCCATCCGTGATGACATAACATTCCTTATCGCTTCCATCCTCTGAAGCGTAGCTCGCCTCTTCCTTGCCTTCTCGTCTTTCAGTCTTGTTGTTTTTTTTCCCACCTACTCTCTTGTTAGGACAATCGACCTTGAAATGCCCAACTTTACTGCATTTAAAACACGCTCGTCCCGCAAGAGGTCTCGATTTAGATCTAGACTTTCTTCCCTTGTCTTTTCCTCGCTCATTGCCTCTTCCTCTGGCAAACAGTCACTGCGCTTGTTCTTTGTTACCACCAGTGGTCATATCACTAGTTACAATTTTTCGAAGATCATCCGCTAGAAGCGCCGTTCTAGTTTCAACCATCGATAAAGTATCACCCACAAGCATCAATGTTTGTACCAGGTTCTCATAAGACTTCGGCAGAGATAGAAGTAGTAGAAGCGCATGATCCTCATCTTCCACTGTCACCTCAATGTCTTTCAAGTCTGATAAGATCCTATCAAACTTGTTGATGTACTCCCGGATTGACGAGCCCTCCTTCATCTTGTAAGTATACAATTTAGATTTTAAATAGATCCGGTTCGTTAGACTCTTCGTCATGAAGATGCTTTCTAACTTCAACCACAGACCCGCAGCCGTTTCCTCCCCGTCTACCAAGAAAGCTACATCCCTCTCAAGGCATAGGATAATCGACGCTCGTGCTTCCAGATCCAGCTCCTCCCAATCCTCATCAGACATATTTTTATGCTTTTCTCTTCCAGCCAAAGCCTTGTGCAACTTTTGCGAAATCAGCGAATTTTTCATCTGCATCCTCCAATAGGAAAAATTATTTTTTCCATTGAAGTTTTCAATCTCGTACTATCCAATTTTATTTGTTTTACTTGTAGACGTTATTTTTGCTTGTATTATGTAAATCCGCTTCTCTCACGAATTTTAACAATTTCTTTGTGTTCACCACACAATAGACAACCACTACCTCAGATCAGAAATTTTACCACCTCCAGTCTGAATAAGGGGCTCTGATACCAATTGTTGGGACTTGAGTTACGCCCACCGTCGTGGAAGCGTTATTGCCTGAGAGAGAGTAGTGGCTATTGTTGTCACAAAAGCACAAGTCAACCTCTATATTCTTGTTTCTCAAAGGAAACTAGAATAGATAGTGAAATTCTTATTTCTCAAAGGAAATAAGAATCGAAAGTGATATATTTCATCAAAGTGAAATATACACTCTTCCTCTCATCAGTTCTAGGACTAAAATATCGAGGGAACCTACAAGCTATGGTAACTCACAGATAATACAAATACAAACACGAGATTTACGTGGTTCGGCTAACTAGCCTACGTCCACGGGAGGGGGGTTTTTCACTATGAGGGAAAATACCAAACTTTACAAGTTCTCTCTTCCTCTCTTTCTTTTCTCTCAAAAACTCCTCTTGAGATTTTTACCCACACTATAACTCCTCCACCACTTCTCTATTTATAGAAGAGCAAAGGGGCAAGGCTGAATATTTTGGCGGGCTGAATGAGCGCGCGGGAGAGGAAAACACGGGCACGAGAGAAATCGGCGGGAACAATTCCCGCGCTCGAACACGAGCTCAAGCGGCGACGAGACGTGGGCTGGGAAAAGAAATCGGCGGGAACAATTCCCGCGCTCGAACACGAGCTCAAGCGGCGACGAGACGTGGGCTGGGAAAACGCGCACGAAACCCAAGCGCGTACGGTGTCGAACTCGCCCACGAAATCATCTCCCGCGTGATCATCCCCACGCGCACGAAAACACCACGAGAAAACCCATGTGGGTGGGCCCCCTATGTCCCCTGCGTACACAGTCAGGATGGGACGGGGTGAGGCTGGGGATGTCGGATAGGGTTTAAGGTTCACAGTAATGTCAAGTTTTATATTTATTTTACTAATCAAAATATTCAACTATACCAAGCAGGTAAAGCTTCATGCTAGAATAGACATAACACATAACAAGCAAATATTCTAAGGTTCTTTACTGCTTTTGGAAGTATATTGTATTCTCGCAACATTGCTCTAACAGATGCTGATTTCTATCACCGTGGAGATTGTTCCTTATCATGTTATGATTCAAAAACACATGCCTCATGTATTTCTTCAACTGTAATGGGTTTGGGAAACCGACCAGTGTGATGATCTAAGCCCCCCTCCTCCTCCTTAAGTATGTCCACTTTGATAAGAGAGGAGAAGAGACCTATTTTCTACACAGAGAAGCTGCTCTTCCAAGTTGGTGATGCTCTTCTTCTATGTCTTGGGTGCATAGGGCACTGGGAAGGTGAGATTTGAGTGCTTGCCTGGCCAGGAGAAGAGGGCTTAGGAGTCTAAATTTATAGAGGGAAAAATATGGCCTTCGTTAGAGAAACATGTAACAACAAATCCAACTACCTTCAAATGGCTCAACCTTGACATCATAACTGTCATAGAAATTGATATATTTGAACATATGACATATTAGAACACGGTGATGTGTGACAGGAAACAGACTTTATCCAAAATCTTAAGCTAGTGGATAGCTGAAGCAGATGAAAAGTATATTTGAAATTCGTCTGGAAGTAAGAAGAACGTTATTAGGTTTGATGATAGCCTTTGTTAATCATTCTGCAACTTGAAAATTGCTTTCCATGATGAGTTCAAAATTATCTATAAGTGAAGCAATCAGTTACAGAATCTTTTAGCAAAGCAATCAGTTATAGAATCTTTTGTAAAAGATAGTGACATGATTCCTTAAAAAAATAAGTGTACATTAACCAAAATAACCTTATCTAAAAACAATGGAGAGATTAGTCAAAAGTATATACATCAGTAATTTAGCATATGATTGAAGAATTCTAACTGTATAATATTTTCATGTAGAAAAACATTAAAGACAAACCAGTCCGTTGTATGTATACCTGTTTTTCTTCCTTAGACATGTGCTGGCTAAGTGATGTGCGCATAGCTCCAATGCAAGAAGCAACTTCTCTTTGAAAACTCTCATCATTTTCTTCACCTGAGTTCAGCAGTTTAAACAACTGATTGAACAGCGTTCTCTCCACCTGGTGCTCAAGAGAATATGTACGCGCAACATTCTTAACACGCATGTCAAGAGCTGGAAAGATAACCTGTCACAAGAAGATAACAACCAAAATCACGAGTCATGTATTTCCCAACCGGCCAACCATTAAAATATTATTATGCATGTAACTGATGGTGGATCGTAAGCCTGATAACATTATATAGTGGATGATGCCATTCTTTATAACATTATCTTAACCCTTCATAGAGAGTAAAGTTTGGAATTTACAAGAACCTTGGTAGCTAGACCCACTAAAAAGAAGATTAATGTTTTTAACAATGTATTCATAAACACAGCCAATTAAAACTAGCTAGTAGAACTTTTCCTGCATATGATTCATCAAATATTGACTAAACATACTTGTCAGTGCATAAATGATATGTACACTTCCGATTTTGAGATGTTGGTGTAGGAGGATTGTTCTGTTATAGCCCAGTTACTATTATAACAAAGTCATGGCCAGCCCTTTCATTCCATATTTGATTTTTCACCTGACCCAGACTACCTTTAATGATGGACTAAGTGATCCCCAAAATGGAAACCAAATTAACCCCACCACCTAACCCACCATTATAGTCAGTGTATTTATTAATTATCAGTTCTGGATAAAGATTTCTGGACAAAATTGTTGCTACTCTTTATTAATTCCCATGAAGTTGTGAATAGAAACTCTAATGTTATTACTCCATAAGATGGGCTTATATAGGCCCTTACAACACAACTTACAAATAACACCCTATCTATTACTAATATGTCAACACTCCTCCTCAAGATGGGCGAAAGATATCCACTAAGTCCATCTTGTCACATCCTCTAATCATATCTACTGAGCTAAGTCCCTTAGTCAGACAATCTGCTGCCTGATCCTTAGTTGGAACATGACTTAACTCCAGTAGTCCATTGTCCAACTTCTCTTTGATGAAGAACCTATCGATCTCGATATGTTTGGTTCTATCATGCTGCACTGGGTTGTTGGCGATACTGATGGCTGACTTGTTATCACACCACAGCTTCATCTTGGCTCCTTAATCCAGCTTCAGCTCCACCAGCATACTCTTCAACCACAACAACTCTATAACTCCCAAGATCATGGCTCTATACTCTGCTTCAGCTGTTGATCTCGTCACCACTGACTGCTTCTTGCTCTTCCACGAGACCAAGTTGCCTCCTATGAAGATGCAGTATCCTGAGGTGGACCTCCTGTCATCAGCACAGCTAGCCCAATCCGAGTCACAGTAACCCTCAATACTCATGTTTATTTTTTCTGAATATCAGTACTTTTTCGGGGGCACTCTTCAAATACCTTAGAATCTGGTATACTGCGTCCATATGACCCTTCCTTGGATCGTGCATGTAGCGACTCACCACGCTCACTGCAAAAGAGATATCGGGACATGTGTGACTCAAATAGATCAACCTGCCCACCAGTCTCTGGTATCTGTCACGATCAACTGGTTTTCCAGCCTCAGCATCCAGCTTGAACTTCTGGTCGATCGGTGTAGTTGCAGGTTTGCACCCTAACATCCCTGTCTCTTTGAGAAGATCCAGTGCATACTTTCTCTGGGATAGGACGATCCCCTCCGCTCCTCGAGCTATCTCTATTCCAAGAAAGTATCGAAGCAAACCAAGAACTTTCACCTCGAATTCCTTACTCAGTCTCACTTTGAGTTGGGTAATCTCCTTCTCATCATCCCCTGTAATAATCATATCATCCACATATACTACAAGCATGGTGATGTGACTTTTACTTCATCGAAAGAACACGGTATGATCGGCGTTAATCTGCTGGTATCCCATACCTATCATAGCCCGCCTGAATCTGTCGAACCAAGCACGTGGAGACTGCTTCAGGCTATAGAGAGACTTCTTCAATCTGCAGACTTTGCCCGCTGTCTGATCTGTGCCAAATCCTGGTGGTATTTTCATGTATACCTCTTCCACCAGATCTTTATGAAGGAATGCATTCTTCACATCTAGTTGGTATAGCTTCCATCCACCATTTACTGCCAGAGAGATCAAGGTCCGAACAGTGCTCATCTTCGTTACCGATACAAAAGTCTCATCATAGTCAATTCCATACGTCTGGCTATACCATTTTGCCACAAGACGAGCCTTATAACGCTCAACCCGTCCATCTGGATTCTGTTTCACAGTGAAGACCCACTTGCATCCAACTGCTCTCTTCCCTTTTGGTAGGTTTACTAACTCCCAAGTACGGTTCTTCTCAAGAGCTCCTAGCTCTTCGTGCATCGCCGTTTTCCACTTTGAGTCCTTCTTAGCAACCTGTCAATTGTTAGGCACAGTAACAGAGTCCAAGGATGCAATGAATGCTCCATGTGAGGATGAATGTTGGAATATGATACAAACTGGGCAAGATCTCATCCATATCTATCGGGAGGATTTCCCGCATTACTACGAGTAGTCCTTCGTACTGATATGGGTGTGGGAGTAGGGAGAGGAATGTTATCACCTTGGGATGAATCTGGTGGTGGTGTAGGTGTCTCAGGAGTCGGGGCAGGCGTTGACAAGAGACTTGACAGCATTAGTGACATTGTAGGTACTGTTCCTGTAATTTGCTTTTCCTTCCTACTATAGGTTAGTAGCTCTCCCTGAACCGTGGGCCTAACACCTCTTGTCTCATTTTCCTTTTCTTCTTCATTCTCTTGCTCCTCAACCAATTCTCCCTCCCAAGGAATCGATATAGAAATTGATTTCTCCACATTGTTCAACGATCTCTCACCATTCTCCTCCTCTCGCCCCATACTTCTAGTATTGGGCGAGTTACCAGCGGATGAAGTTGCCTTTCGGGTGTAATATGGCTCTAGTTCTCGAAAGTACACATTCATGCTCACAAACAACCTTTTCTCCACCGGGCTCCAGCAAACATATCCCTTCTGAGTAGCAGAATATCCCACAAAGATGCACTTCACAGCTCTAGGGGCAAGCTTCCCGACAGATGGCCTGTTGTCCTTCACAAAGGATACACAACCAAACACTTTAAGTGGAAGGATCCCACCATTATCTCCCTTCAGCATCTCACACGGAGACTTCCAATCCAGCACTCTCGAGGGCATTCTGTTGATCAGCGCTGCTGCGGTCAATACTGCTTGCCCCCATAATGTTTCTGGGACATTCATAGAGATCATCATGCTTCTAGCAACCTCTAAAAGATGTCTGTTCTTCCTTTCCGCTACCCCATTCTGAGCTGGTGTGTATGGACATGTTGCCTGGTGCTGTATTCCCTGAGCTGACAAATATTCTTCAAGCGCTCTGTTGGTATACTCTGTCCCATTATCCGACCTCAATACCTTCACCACTGCTCCGTATTGAGTCTGAACATTCCTATGAAAGTTTTGGAAGCACCCAAACACTTCACTTTTATTTTTTATCAGGTATAACCAAGTAACACGAGAGAAACAATCAATAAATGTAATAAAATACTTGTATCCATTCATAGAACTTGTGGAGTAAGGCCCCCAAACATCTGAATGTACCAAGTCAAATGCATGAGAGCTTCTATGACCAGAACTTCTAATCAGTTTTCCAAACTCACATGCATCACACACAAGTTTCTGTTTATTTGCTTTCTCAAATAAGGATGGATACAATCTACCTAAAACACTAAAGGATGAGTGTCCCAAACGCTGCTGATGAAGCATTAACTCACTCTCAGTACTCATTTTAGATCCTACTCCTGCTTTCTTGACGACTGACACCAACGCTGAATCCAGCCCTTCACGGTCTAGATACCACAGTCCACTACGTTATGTGCCAGTCCCAAGTCTCCGCTCTGTCCCCTTCTCCTGAAAAATCTCCTTGGGAATATCAAAAGAAACAATGCACTTTAGTTGGAGAATGATAGCACTAATGGATAAAAGATTGACTGGAAAGGAGGGAGCATGCAAAACATTGAACAAAGTTACAGAACCTGTACAATCGATTGTACCCTTACCAACCACTGGCTGAAATGTACCATCAGCTGTTTGAATACTATCAGGCGATGCTAGGTGAGTATATGATAAGAACTCACTAGCATTACCTGTCACATGTCGAGACGCACCGGAGTCGACTATCCATTATGATGATCTGTCGGGAGACATAGAAGCAAGAGCATGTGTATCATCAGTACCTTTGGTCGGATGAGCATAGGTAGCAGTGTTGTCGCCAGCGAAGAACGAAGTTGATGCCTCCTCAGTTCCACTCCTCCTGTCTCCATCCCCCGCTACTTTCTGCTTCCTTCTGAGTATCGCCAGGAGCGCACGATCCTCCTCAGTAAAGACCACCTTAGTTTCTTCCTCTCCCTCTGCTACCATCAGATTCGCCTGGTTGCCTGTTCCTCTTCCACCTCGTCGACCCCCACGACCACAACCACGACCTCCGAACTGTCCACGTCCACCCGAATCTCCTTCCTTGGGTGGTTTGGTGCAAGCATGCCTTAGATGACCCACCTCACCGCAGTTATAGCACTGCCGAGTCTCTTCCCTGGATCCAGTATTACTAGAGGCTGCCAGTGCTGACTTCACCACAGGAAGTCTACCTGTCCCCGCTTGTAACCTAATGCGAGTCTCCTCCTGGATCATGGCCGAGACAGCCTCAAGCGTGGGAATCTTTGGCTGAGCTAGCAGCAATGCAGTTCGCTGAGCAAACTCCGATGTCAATCCCTTGAGAAACACCATAGTCCTCTTTTGTAGAAATGCCTCCCGCTCTTTACATCCCGGGTCCTTGCAGCTCGCCCTTGGGGAGAAGTGATCATAATCCAACCACAGGCGTTCCAGCTCTGTGGCATACTCATGTACAGTCCGTTCTCCCTGGACTGTGGCGTCGATTTCTCCCTTAATTTGGAACACCCGCAGGTTATTCCCCACTCCATCATAGGTCCTCCTCAACTTCTCCCAGACATCCTTCACCTTCTCGATGCCATCAACTGTGGCAGCGATCGACTGGACCAATGAGTTGAGGAGCCAGATATACACCAACATATGAGTGGACTTCCACTCATCTCTTCCTTCCGAGTCCTCATCCGGCTCTGTCGCCTCTCCTGTCAAA